CAGATGTGATTTAACGTGCTTCATAGCTGGATGGCGGAATTCTTGATAATACTCTATAATCATAAAGACATCAACTTTTGGTAAGTTTCTTCCAACTACCTTGATGAACCCTGGATGTAGTTGTCCAACCTTCTCGGCTGATCGGCTCTGTAAATAAATATTATTAGATAATTAATTGTGCTTTACTGTGCAACATAGTAATACTATTTTGAAGTATATAAATATTACTAAGCACATTAACTAATTCAATGAATATTAGCTGCCCCTACTACAAATTTCACTGTATAAACATTACAAACAATATTGGTATTATTTTCGTTTTGGTCATCTGGGGAACCTTAAGATTCTAACTATGGGATTAAGTTCTTTAAACAATAAGACACATTATCACTACGGGATTTCTGCAGCCTTTTTTTTCGATCGCATAAGAAAATACAGGTCATATGTTAGGTTAGGTTAGGGTATGATAAGTTATAGTATAAGTTATAAGATTAGCTTAACATACAACGGTAAGGTAGTAACTCAAAACTAGTGATTTCCGATAGAAATGAAGGTCTAAATCGTTCACAATACATCGCAAACCATCAGAAAAACATAATCTGCATGTCTAAGTACAAGGATGACCAAAACTTAAAATTTACCCACTACAGCCTGTCTCGAATCTAAGCAATCAAATACTTATGGTAGTTAAAGTAAAATTTTACCCATTAATTAACATAAATGATGATTATATCCCAGTGGCTCATTAGTGAATCATCAAAACAATAATACCATAATGTTGTCATGTTTAACTAGCACCAGGCATTCTCAAAACAAAGTCCAGACAATGTCATTACTGTACTTTTAAATTGACTCATAGCTCCATCCCTGCGTCGTCTGCAGAGAAGGTGGTGACGTCATTGCAAATGGCAGCCCTGTTTCTAGATAAATAAAATTATCTCGACTATTATAGTAGGACTTTATACTTGTATTACAAATTATATATACCGTATCACCCTACGAACGTGTCAGAGTGTATTTCTTGTGTTTACCCAGAACCGACAACTCGTCCATTGGTAAGAACCCCTAGAATCCACTGGCAGGACAGAAGTGCTCGCCAGTTCCTCCTCCCCATCCCCTACTCACTTCGACATGTTTCCAGAGACCTCAGCTGACGCTTCTACAGGTCACTGTTTGGCAGTGTAGAATATTAATATTGATAGTGATATTGAAACTGTTTATTTCGCCAGAAAAATACAAATACAGAGTGGATAATAAAACAATATAACATGGCTGAATGGCTGAGCCAGTTAAGAGCCTGAACTCTCTTGAAGGCACCTAATATACAGTATACTGTACATTTATTTCAAGGAAGTATTATGTAACATTTAGTATCATCTGGACTAGTACTTGTAACATGCTGGTAGTAAGAACATACAGATCTACACTAGTTTGAGAATTAGGGGGAAGGGAAAATGTGAAGAAGAGTGAAGAGTAGAATCATCAGCGTAAGAATGGTAGAATTAGTCGTAGTGTGAAGCAAATCATTGATAAAAAGAAGGAAGAGAGTAGGTGAAAGAACAAAACCCTGTGGGACACCACTATTGGTAGAGAAAGAGCGAGAGATTGATCATTCGACAAGAACTGCCATGGATCGGTTCTCAAGGAAGCTAGAAATTAGAGAATAAAGTGGGGGAGAGAAACCATAAGAGGGAAGTTTAGAAAACAAAGAGTTAAATGCTTTGGAAATGTCGAGGGCCACGACGAAAGTTTCCCCATAATCCCTAAGAGAGCATGACCAAAGATGGGTGCAGTAGGAGAGCAGATCTCCAGTAGATCTTGCCTGGCGAGAGCCTTACTGATGATCCGACAAAAGAGAAAGGCGTTCAAGGTAACGGAGAAAATGAGAATTTAAGATAGTTTCGAAAATCTTAGAGAGGGATGAAGTTAGGGCAATAGGGCGATAGTTAGAGGGATTGGAATAGTCACCCTTCTTCGGGATGGGCTGAACCAAGGCATGCTTCCAAGAAGAAGGAAAAATTTGGGTTCTGATGAAAACACGAAAGACGCGAGCAAGCACAGGGGCTAGAATTTCAGCACGCTCCCTCAGAACACGACGGGGTATCCCGCACGGTCCAGGCGCCTTACTCACATCCAACCTAGATAACATACCAGCAACCCTACGAGTGGAGATTATAGGAAAGTGCATAGGTTCAGTAGGAGGAGCAGGAGTAAGTAAAATTATCTCTATTAAATTGACTTACAATTTCTCGCTTATAATTAGTCATTATGTGTTTATCAGAGAAAAAATTATAAATAGATCTGAGATAATACAATTACAGTATATTGGAGTTGTTAAAAAATTACATTTAATAAGTAAAGTAATCCTATTACCAAGTTGCGAGAAACAAGAATACGAGAAAAGCTTATACTCTCTCTCTCTCTCTCTCTCTCTATATATATATATATATAAATAATCAACACCTCAACCCTCCAGGATTCGAACCGACGACCCACTAGCCCATGACTGTGACAGGGGAATGCTAACCGCTGGACCACCGGGATACAAAAGCAGTCCTGGACTTTGTTATATTTCACACAAAGCCTGTTCAACGAGCTTATGGCGCCTTTGATACGGGTAGTCCCTATGAGAGGTTCACGGTGCCATAAGCTCGTTGAACAGGCTTTGTGTGAAATTTAGCAAAGTCTAGGACTGCTTTTTGTATCCTGGTGGTCCAGCGGTTAGCGTTCCCCGGTCACAGTCATGGGCTAGTGGGCCGTCGGTTCGAATCCTGGCGGGTTGAGGTGTTGATTGTATGTAGAAGTCCGCCTGCTATTGGGCTAATGAAATATATATGGATCCTCGTGTTTCGAAGCCGGATTTGGTAAAACGTTACTCTGACAACCTACGTGATACGGGCAGTCCCCATTAGAGGTTCACGGCGCCATAAGCTCGTTGAACAGGCTTTGTGTGAAATATAACAAAGTCTAGGACTGCTTTTGTATCCTGGTGGTCCAGCGGTTCTCGTTCCCAGGTCACAGTCATGGGCTAGTGGGCCGTGGGTTCGAATCCTGTCGGGTTGAGGTGTTGATTGTATGTAGAAGTCCGCCTGCTATTGGGCTAATGAAATATATATGGATCCTCGTGTTTCGAAGCCGGATTTGGTAAAACGTTACTCTGACCACCTACGTGATACGGGCAGTCCTCATTAGAGGTTCACGGCGCCATTAGCTCGTTGAACAGGCTTTGTGTGAAATATAACAAAGTCTAGGGTTGCTTTTGTATCCTGGTGGTCCAGCGGTTCTCGTTCCCAGGTCACAGTCATGGGCTAGTGGGCCGTGGGTTCGAATCCTGTGGGGTTGAGGTGTTGATTGTATGTAGAAGTCCGCCTGCTATTGGGCTAATGAAATATATATGGATCCTCGTGTTTCGAAGCCGGTTTTGGTAAAACGTTACTCTGACCACCTACGTGATACGGGCAGTCCCCATTAGAGGTTCACGGCGCCATAAGCTCGTTGAACAGGCTTTGTGTGAAATATAACAAAGTCTAGGGTTGCTTTTGTATCCTGGTGGTCCAGCGGTTAGCGTTCCCCGGTCACAGTCATGGGCTAGTGGGGCGTGGGTTCGAATCCTGGCGGTTGAGGTGTTGATTGTATGTAGAAGTCCGTGTGCTATTGGGCTAATGAAATATATATATATATATATATGTATATATATAGAAATATATATACATATATATATTTTTTTTACGAGAATAACAACATATTTGATGTAAATAACTTTTTTCAAAATATCGAAAGATTGTGAAATGGGATAAAATTTACTGTTTTATTTGATGCAAAAGTTTATAAAAAGCCAAATTAAGGTGAATATCACTTTTAGCCAGACTGAGAGAGTACTTTAACTATTATGTACAGTTATACACTGTATAGTTACGTTTCTAATCAACAATGAAAAATACTGAACGTGAAATAAAGTCTCTATCTATCAAACTGTGCTTAGAATGTAAAAAAATACTTACAAAATTACCTTTCTAATCAATTTCGAAAACAAAAGCTCGATTACACTATACAGGTCTAGTCTTCTTTAGTAAATAACCTGTGACCTTGACTTCTGTAATATGAAATAAATTCTAACCCGACTCTCTCCCTCACTAATTTTCATAAATCATGTTTTATCGATTTTGAAATATTTTGTTTAGACTCACCTTTTTGGTTTTTCCGTGATGTGTGACCTAAATTGTTGCCTTACTTCTCCAGTATTTTAGTAGTTTTTCCTTGGACTACTTTCACCCTATTTGCCAGGATTTTTGAAAATGGGTAAACTCATTTTTTTTTTAGAAATTTTGCTTTATAATATTTCAAAGTTAGAGCTACAAGACCTAATTCTGTGACCTGGTTTTACTTACAGTACAGAGTTACTTTACTGACCAACATCCTACTTCCAGCTGTCATTGAAATCCCTGAATTTGCTTAATCCTAATTACTGCAGTATTGGGTAATCGTATCGGTATAAAGTAGTGAATTTAACCTCCAAATTACTTTATCTTGTTTAGTTGTATCTTGGTCAGTGTAAGACATAGGTGCAAAATTTCACAGAAGCCGATAATCCCCTTCCTTTGCTGGGGGGTGGGGAGAGGTAGGTATGGTGGAGGGTTATAAAATGCTACATGAAACATTGGTGTAATGGTTAAGAAGGTAACCCGCGCACAGGTGGGAATACAGGTGTTGTAAAGATTAATGATTTTTACAGACCTTGTTATACATATCAATGCGGAAACTATGTTCAGTATTATATATCACTATTTTAATATTATAAGTTAATACAGGTGTTTACAATAAAAATTATCAAATTATTCCCTTAACACTCACCAGAATCATGAATTACAATATTATTTTTGTCAAAGAAATATACAGGTAATCAGAAGTTTTCACTCTGAGCGGCTCTGAACTTCTGCTGACGTGTGGGTGATCACCTGGCGAGAGCCGAGTCAGTAGTGCACAGAGTGCTGCTGCCTTAGTGTGGAGTTTACAGTTGAACCCGTAGTGAATCTCTTGTCTGAAACTGCATTCAAAATTTTCTTTTAATTACAAATCAGTATTTTCGTTGCTTACTCCTGAAATCTAACTAAAGCAAAATAAACCTGGTGATGCACCTGTTAGTTTGCTGACTTACAGCAGATTCTTGCTAATATTAGATAGTATGGACAATAATTTTATGATTCATGGTATATTGAGTCAGATTGAAAAATTATCGACGACTATTATTTAAGAATAGAAAAGTAGAATATCAGAAATTCGTGCATCACTCAAAATACAGTATGCCTACGGTGAATTATCGCTATCTGCTCATCATACTGGTATACTCTATAGTAGCAGTGATCTGCATGTTGAGCTTCATTATTAGGGGCGGCGATACAGGTCCTCAGCAGTGGATCAGGAACACAGTCAGGAAGTCGGACGATAAGAAGAGAGACGCTGACATACGCATGGATGTGGATCTTCACAAGGACAATTACATGGACAGGGACCTGATGCTGTTCCCACAAAACAACATAACTAACAGAAACAAAGAACTCTTCGGGATGTATCAAAATGGAAATCCTAATTCTGGATATGAGAAATATGTCAATAAGACCGTCTATAAAACATCGAATGTTCTACAGAATACCAAAAATACATTAATAGATAATTCAGGTAACCGACACTACATAACAAAAAGTAAGTCGATGAACTTCGAAGATGTGGGTAGACGTTTAAGTGAAGAACGAGCCCATGTACAGGCAGCTTGTAGCAAAGTGAGAACAGAATGCTCCCTCGAGAATAGAATTAAGTACAGAAACTTCTTCTTCCATGACTACAACACTACTGTGTGTACCATAGCCAAGGTAGGTGGGGTGAAAGGGAAGGTGACTGGTACAGTATGTGTACAGCTCAACAATGGTCATCCATTCTTATACGTGCAACCACACACAGACACACACACACACAGTGGTACATATGATCACAATAAAATGGATACAATTTCACCTTAAGTAGTATATTGTTTAAGTCCGAAAGATCTGTGCGAACAACGCTGAGGTGATTATAACTAAAATTGCAATGATTGTTTTATATTGAAAAACCGATAATAAAACGTTGCTCTAAAAGTGATCTATCAAAATTATATAATCTCGTTAAAAATTTGACTGAAGACCTTTTGGTTCACCGGTTGTCCCTCTGTGTGAAAGAATAATATTTTTGGCTATGCACATTGCACAGGAAGCTGATAAAATGATAACTTAATTACGAGCTACAGAGATCTTATTGTATAATCTACATTAAAATATTTAAGCTGTGTTGATGTTTAGCTCAACTTAGGGTTACGATTGTTTGACTTTAGGTTCACGTTATGTTAATTTGACATTGATGGTAACTTAACTTTGTTTGACGATACTCGAAAGTTCTGTTGGTGATGCCTCAATGTTGCGTGGACAATATTAATGTTGTCTTGATAATGCCTTGCATTAAGAATATATTGGATTTCCTTAAACAATGTTTTTTTGTTAACAAAATATTCTGTATGTTGACAATATGTCATACGATATCTTAACGTTATATTAAGGATAAATTATTACACCTGTGTCTCAACTGTGTTATAATGAATAAAGGCAGTGAGTAATGAGCTTGTCTGCACCGCCAGTCGGGATCGTCCACCTGGAGGGCTCACCTGCGGAAAGTCAATGGAGGACCTCCACCTCACCTGCCTGTCTCTATTGATGCCCGCAGGGATCAGTTCCTCGCTCGACCCTACGACCTCGTCGTCCGAGACATCAACGCCTCGGTCAAGATCATCACTGTCAGGTAACGACCAAGGTAGAAGGAATATAATCATGGAGCAACACTTCACGTAGAGGCAGTGTGCTATTGATGCCTACTGTGAGCTAGTAGTAGTAATATTACCACTTGTGTAAGGACTTACCTTAATACCCAAGTGACTCAGCACTCCCTCAGCGTAAGCAGTTACCGTCATGTTTGTGGAACCAATAACAGAAAAGACACAAGTCTTCATAAAACTTTTGAACCCTTTTGACAATGATGTGTCTGTTTCTTTCACTTGATAAACTGAAATGTATTAGTCTCTCTCTCAGAAGCCTCTGCTTGGCCGTCTCTTGAGACACTTCATTAATGATTTAAAGTTTCGACTTAGGTTTTTAGTTTATTTCAGTTATTTCGTAATTCACTTCTATAGTTTGTTTCCCCGCAGCTAAAGTGGCATCTTCTTCCACACATACAGTATTTACTACATCTTATATAACGTCATTTAAATTAAAAATCTTAGTTACACAGGATATATCGGAATTTATACCTTCAATGGAATTTTTAACTCCGCCATTCTTGAGCCTTTTTTCAACTACTTTCACCTACTTTTCACCTTGTAAAAATACAAGGCACCCTCTCACTCATCTAGTATCACCCAAAAGGCACCCCCTCACCCATCTAGTGTCATCCATCAGCAACTTCTCACCCGTTAAGTGTAATCCACCAGGTACTGTACCTCTCACCCATCTAGTTGTTATAGTGTCTTTTATATCACAAATTATTGTAGTTAAGTTCTGGAACTCTTAAGTTGCAGGTTTTTGAGGTAAACACTTCAGAAGTAATTTCTGTAGTTTATTCAATTTACATACTAGGAACACTTGATGCAATCTGAAAGGAGATCTAGGAATCCTCTCCAGAGAAGACTCAGAATAACACGTGGAGGCTAACTTAAGTTAAGTGGGGCACTTCCCTGTTTAATGGTTATAACTATAAGCTATCTGTCTCACCTAGGAAGTGTCACTTCGAGAGGAGAGCTGTTAGTCAACCGGTAGTAGGTAGTAGGCAGCTACCAAACAGGGAGGTACTACTGCCTGGGAAGATATTGGAAGCATAATGTGTTGTCAATGGTAGACCCTGCTGCCATATGGCATCATGAAAATTGTGACCAAGTCCCAGGTTGCTGATCTGACTTTCTGCTTCATTTACACACAATTGCAGGGTCTCAATTGTTTCGCTTACCATTGACAACACAACATACATATATCGTTTCTCACTTTTGATCTTTTTTCATTTTTGTATTTATAGTTCTTTATTATTAAAATTATTATTATTATTACAGTTACTGTATTATTATCATCATTATTTTATTATTTTATTTTTGTTTTTGTTTTTCATGAATTTTATTTATTATGAATTATTATGACTATTATTTATTATTATTATTATTATTATTATTATTATTATTATTATCATTATTATTATTATTATTATTATTATTATTATTATTATTATTATTATTATTATTATTATTATTTATTATTATTATTATTATTATTATTATTATTATTATTGTTATTACATTTTCGCCCCCTAGGTCCCTATGTGGGTCAGTGACCTGTGTCCGGGTGGGCTAATCCCCGTTAAAAAAAAAAAAAAAGATACTCTAACCTCGTGAATTATATATAGTACTAGGGTGCTGATACATAGTGTCATCCACCAGGCACCTCTCACCCGTGAAGCGTCATCCACCAAGCACCTCTTACCCGATTAGTGTCATCCACCAGCCACAACTCACCCATTAAGTATCATCCATCAGGCGCCTTTCATTCTTTAAGTGTCATCATCCAGGCACCTCTCACCCTTTCAGTGTCATCCACAAGGCACCTCTCACACTTAAGTATCATCCACCACGCACCTCTCACTTTTAAAGTGTCATCCACCACGCACCTCACCCTTCAAGTGTTATTCACCGGGCATCTCTCACCCATCTAGTGTCATCCATCAGGCACCATCCAACCCTTTAAGTGTCATCCACTAGGTACCTCACTCTTTAAGTGTCATCCACCAGGCAGCCCACCCTTTAAGTTTTATCCATCAGGCAAGTCTCACCCATCTAGTGTCATCCACCAGGCACCCTCTCACCCGTTTGGTTTCCGCCTACCGAGAAAAGTACAAGGGAGGAAGGATAATGCCACCCAACAAGCCTGAGCGGGAGAGACGGTTTCACAAGGTAAGCCTGACACTCCCAAGTTGTACCTGGTATTTTTCTTCTTGTGACACTCAAAAATATTGTTACCCGATTTGAGAATATCGTAGAATTTCCTAAATGTATTACATATTGGTAAATAATAAACACTGCATAAATCAATATATATCAACTGTATATATATATTGTAAATGTAGATGGAAAACCTTCTGTATTGGCCTGCCTTCATGCATGTACTGTATAATCAAGCAGTTAGATCTCAATAGGCTCAAAATTTTAAGTTAGTTTACCCCGGAAGCTGGATCATTTGTAATGGTACAGTCTCATCCAAAAGTTCATTAACTCTCCCAGCCAGCTATTGTTGCACTGCCTGCTTCAGATGTATGAACTTGAGTCTGTTACTTCGAACCTTTAGATTCATTCGTATCGGTTTCATGTTCTGGTTGGTACTGAGACAGTTTCAAACTCCTGAAGCAGGCAGTGCAGCAATAGCTGGTTGGGAAAGTTTACGAACTTTTGGGTTAGACTGCACCATGCATTTCTATGTTCCTTGTTAGCAACCCCCAGGGTGTAATATATGTTATTCCCTAAAGTGGTACAATTTCTAGTTCAGAGGGTTTGTGAAGTGACCCAGATTGAAAATTTGATCACCTATGGCCAAGGCATTTCTGCAGGTTATTTTGTTTACTGTTTAATGAGTAGGAACATCAGCTCATTCAGCTTGGCTATATTACACAAGAAATGTTCACTTATGCCCCTTTTATCTGTTTTTTTTCTTCAATAATTTAAGCCTAAATTTCCTTAAAATATAATAAGACAGTAATGATACACACAGGATGATTAACCAGTTATCTCTCTCTATAAAACAGTATGCTGCTTGAGATTAGGTCAGTATTGTTGGATGTCCAGATTATAAATTTCTACATTATACGGTGAAATATTTATCTTTACCTGGTGCTGATTTCTCACTGGTGAACATATGAAGTGGTATGTGAAACTGCAGTAAAATTAAAATATTAAGCATTATCTAAATGTATGCATAAAATAGGAAAGTATTCACTTGTAACACGTATTTATTAGATTATTGCTGAATTATTGGGTTAATTCATGTTCATAATTTATAATTTTGATAGCTGAAGTTTACTGGGAATACATCTACGTATTCAAGATGACTATTTTTACTGGGAGTTTTAAACCCTTTGTTGTACATTCTGATATCTGTATAAGCAAATATTCAAGCACACTTACCTTTAAATTAACACAATAAATAATTTGCTTAATGTATCAACAAAAAAAGTGAATATATACATTTACCATTAGCAGCACGTCCATCACCACTATCAACACTTCCCATAGGATTTAAAGCATCTGATGGACCTTCTGCTTCTGTTAAGGAACACTGATACTTGAGCAGTGATTGCCCACTATGCATAAAGTTGAATATGCTTAAACTGTGCTTGGATCCCATACTTATACCCAGAGGTAAAAGTCGGGTAAAAAAAAAAAAAAATGTATGAAAACATTACAGCAGCCATTTCCCATGATGAAGAAAACGAGATAAAATAAATACTGTATAGCAATAAAGTTAAGAGAAAGATAACATCAACTAGCCACTTATTGGAAGTGATGTAGAAACAAGGTGACCAGCAGCTGAAGTGGTTGTCACAGACAACATGAGATGTATTTAGTTGATTTAGCGTTTTAGTCTTCAGAAAAGCTATATTGGGGTTTCTCAGCCAAGTTATACATCTGGAATTATGAACTTACACGTAATAGTCATCAATTATCTAAAGAAATTAAGTTGGACATGAGAATGATTATTTTATTATTATTATTATTATTATTATTATTATTATTATTATTATTATTATTATTATTATTATTATTATTGTTATTATTATTATTATTATTATTAATTATATTTTCATCCCAGGCTTTGCTGTGGGTCAGTGACCTGTTTACCCCCCGCCCGGGTGGGTTAATCCCCGTTAAAAAAAAGTTGTGCTGGGATATTTAGACGATATACTTAATAATGCTACAACATTAGTTTTTTTGCCTTTAATCAAAGTTCCAGGTGTAGTATATAGCTAACACCTGACGCAGTATACAGCTAACACCTGATATAGTATATAGCTAACACCTGACGTAGTATACAGCTAGCACCTGAAGGACCTTATTGATTTTGTTAATTTCTGCACAATTGTTTTAATGATGATAATAGAAATGTGTGCCGCCATTAACTGAACCAAACCTTACCTAACGAAAACTAATCCTAACCTAACCTAAACCAGTTTTATTTCCCATTTACAAATACAGTATGAAAATAAACTTGTCAGAAACAAATAGGAAAAATGTTACAGCGATTTTAATTTTGTTCAAGGTCTGTGTTGGGTTTGTTTAATTTTTCACAGGTTGGGTAGGTTAGGTAAGGTTAGGTCAGACTCTAATAAGTTCTGTACATTGCCATAGAGTCCTTCTGGTGCTAACCGTCTCCTATAACATTACCAGATGGTGTACTTTTGAAAATGAGTCTTGGTTCGTGAGTTTTACTCTCATCTTCTCTGCTTGCTTTTCAAAATATGCTTTTCACTTTTGTCACAATTACGAAATATATCTCTTTCTTTTTCTTGCCCGTTATAAAAAGTAATGAAACCTCAGGTCTTTATTGCACTTTTTTTTTATCTGTGCTGCACACAAAACATTGGTTAAGCCCGTTCCTTCTCGCCACATTTGTGTCACCGTCGCGTTAGTCAGCATGCCCAGCGGTCGAGTCAAGACAAACAGCCAACACAACTTTTCCCGCCATTTAATCAGTGTCATCTAGTGACCAGGGGCGCACACTATAGGAATCTACATTAAGTAGCTTTAAGACGCGCTTCCTCCTTTATACTTTCCTTGGTTTAAGTGAGAGGTGTGTGAGCGTTGCTTGCATGACTCGTCACTAATGCCACGTGAGTCACAAAGCAGGTCAGCAGCTGCGGTTGAGGCAGCATCGTGTATGGAGGGAGAGTGTTCCCGCTATATTTGGTCTGGTAACGTTACTAAACAGGTATGTCTCCAGTGTGGTATTTAAGTTGTGGACTTCGTATTATTTGTGTAGGTTATGTATCTAAGCTACTTTGCCGAGTAGCAACCTTATATATAAGCTACTATGCCGAGTAGCATTTCTATATGTAATTACGTGGCATCACTGCACGTGTTATGTGGCAACATTGCCCCGAGGCTGCCATATGGCAATGCAACCTCTGTCTGCTTCTGTGGGTCGTGCAAGGCACACGCTAGTCACTACTTGTATTTTTCCTATTCGTTAATAAATGGACTTCAGTGTTACCCGGTGTTTCCCTACCCACCACTGCCTTCTTCAGGGAACACTTGGAGCCTTCAGTTTGGAATCAAGAGGGCATACTAAGTAGGGTTGACTGGTTTTTGCAGTTAACGAAAGTGCTGGAACAGAGGTGGTTGCCCTGGAGACCGGTGTTGTGGCCTGGCATGGTAGCTGTCTCTTGTTGTGTTGTGTCGCCGGTATACACCCAGTGTCATTCCAAGAATTGGTAATCAATCTGCAGTTACTAATTTCGTTCACGAGTGATAAGAACGGATATAATACGTCAGTCTGTGAACTAAGATTCCTACGTGTGCAAATAGAACAGCTCCAACTATCGAACGAAGCAAGCGGTAGTTTAGGTCTTATTGTCTGGTAAAACTTGCTTGTTTGTTTATATACCAATTTATATTATATACATGTATATTGTTATTGTTGTATAGTAAATTAAGTTTAATTTCTTTGGTTTTTGTTTATCCATACGGTAACACGCCGTATCTGTAGCCTTTATTATTTTATTACACTTCCTTGAAGTATAATGGTCCTATCTAGTGTGTGAGTAAGTCGCACACTGAATAACACCCTCGCAAACTCCAGTCAACTAATTTAAAAACTGGTTTTCGTATTGTACTTCTGGACTTGTCGTCATCCATATTCCAAAAATCACTGTTCTTCAACTTTATTTTAAGTTTGCCCGCCCTAAGTTTTACGTTGATTAACTAAGAATAATACTTATACTTTTCTGGGCATCCATTGGGTGTAAATGATGCGGGAAGGTATGGCCGCAATCTCTCACTCACATATGGTACTGTATTCTTGCCTGACAGAACCATGCAGGGTCTTACTGGGGGGACAGATTCAAGCAGTTCTGGCTACCAGCGCTCTACACTAATGGCCTAATCCCCGCTGACATCCACATCGCTCTTGGCCTCCACCAGCCCATCGACCCAGCTGCCAGGTGACTGAGTCTCACTATCTTGTAACATTTTTTACCTTTAAGTCCCCCACAGTGTTATAGGTGTATTGTGCTGTGTATTAGTCAAAGATCCATTTTTTTATGCTTTTACAATACAAAATACATTACGCTTGTGCTTATACTTAAAGTTTGTTGTTACTGGATTTTGAGCACGGTGTCTGAGTATGAACATTATGTATACTCTGCTCACTTACGGTAAGTATCTGGGACAAACGAAAGGACGTTCACGATTAGCGGACACAACCCATCTAGTGTGGAGACGTAGGAGTCAATTCGTCGACCGCACATCGCTAGTGAAATACTGTCTTAGGCTTGACTATCTTTCTTCACTCTCGTCCTCCTACTCTATTTTAATTCCCTGTGGTTTAAGTCACTTACAGTACGATCAGAATTTACTGGAAATATAATTCAGGTAAAATCATTTCAGTTTATTTACAAACCCAAATTTACAAGGCGAGAGGATGTGAGTGTTTCTTTGTGTGCTTGTGTTAGTGTGGTTCACCCAAGTTTAATCTCAAAACACCTCTGGCCGACGGTTGGTAGGACTTATTTTTTTGTTCTGTTCAATTAACCTGAGGCACAGTACTTGTTCCTTGCCACCACTATGTCATCTGTCTCCATTAAAGTGCCCTACCACTTAATACTTTCTTATATCCAAACCAAAGTCCCCAAACAACTTTCCAATGTCGTCCTCCCACCTTCAAACTTCACTAGATTTTCCTTCACTTTCTCGAGGAGTGCATTTAAGGTCGAGAGCTTCCCTCTGTAGTAGAACGATAGAATTTTTTTTATACCTTCCTTGTCAAAATCGTCCAGCTTACTCAGTAGTGTACATGTACTTCCTTGAGGTTGTGTGCGGGTAATGATATAGGGTGAGGATCGTTTTCTGACGCCTGTCGCTGTACTCTCTGCACCAAGGATGATAGAGGGAGGAAATTTAATTTACCTTATTGAAACCCATTATTTTCTTCATGGCCTCCGATTAACACACCATCTATTGAGGCTGAAACATCATCGAACATTTTTTGATATTACTTGGGTATCTATTTTAAGTGTACGACATCTTAGAAACTCGCGCGGCATAAAGGAATGAGGAGCATTAAATAAAATAATACAATCGATATATTTTCTTCGTTTAATTTATATATTTTTCTTATAATTTATGCTTAATCTTGTATATGATTATTTAAATTCATATCTAATTTGCATTTTCTTTGCTATTCATTGCTCGGGATTAAATCTAAAGTATGTAATGTTAGAAATGTATAATAAGTTGGAATATGTATATAGTATTAAACACTCAGACAGTAGTTTTGAACACCTTTGTCTTCTTTCTTTGATTTCCTGGCAGTCAATTGAGTATTTGTACTTGTGCTTCAACAACGAAGGTCAAAGCGCGTAGTAATGCTAGTAATACAATATTTCAACAACGATAAAATTTTATGAAAGATAAAATTCTGTGTTGAGCACTCATTTAAGGACATCACTGTATTTGATTATACAACTTAATAACCACGAACCACATATTACCTTTGATAAAACAATGGAATTTCAGATGATTATAATTCCTTTTATTTTTGCAACACAAGACAGTCATGGGTACCTGTCGTTAGATTCAGTTTTACACATTTGACAGGTTGAACATGCCGCAGTCTTCTTCTGAAATGTAAACAAACATCCTACAAGCAGCATACATCTCAGTTGGATCAGCGCCATCTACATTTGGTGCGACATACTTCAAGGCATCTACACTGATATGCGTGAGCAATACTGTAGTTCCTTCCACTTGCCGTTTGCATAGCCTCGGCGATTTTCTGGGCGACCTCAGTGCACGAATCGGCTCTTCGTGTCGAGTGAAGTAGCGACAAACATTAATGATGAACATTGTGAGTCTGACTTCGTATTTGTGTCCACCAACTATACGCCTACCAGAGCCAATTTCTCTCGACATGCTGACGTGGATGCCAGTACTCTGAAAACCGTTAAATTCCATACAGTCTTCTGCTGCTTTACACGGCATTTTGTGCAACAGTTGTGAACGTTGGCCGTTTTTGCTTCGGAATGGGGTCATGGAATTTCACCATAACACCCTGCAAGCTTGATGGGATGAAGTCGTTCATTGCTCTTTCCCTGGTTTCCCTTCCAGGAATTCCTTGGTTACATCGGCGGGGACAAGAACACATGAGGGTGTAAAAGTAAACTTCAGAAGACTCCAAAATCCCAAACTTTAAAAAAACCTAAAAAATGTTTTACCCCTTCACATCTGAACAAAAGTAAACAAGTAAATTGTTACTCTCTGTAATGAGCGTGTTGATAAAGCCCTTGAACACGTTCACCATCTGCAGCTTTACCTCCTCTCACTAATGCATCTCGGCTGCCCTCAGGTACTTGCGCTTGGATTCACCCCCTTCTCTCATATCAGCAATGTTAAACACAGTCTGCAAGGATGAATTATACGACTTACCCTTTGAGCAACCGTGTCCACACTCATACGGCATGCCTCCCTACACACGCCGTCAGGTCGGTCATTCCTATGTGCTTCGGTTCTTCATTTCGTAACTCCAGTGTGTGGTGCTTTCCCTCACGGCCAATGGTTGAACAAGAATTTTTACGGTTTGCATTAAAATGCAATATTACAGTATAATAATATAGATTTTCCTCCATGTATTGATACTATGACTCGTTACGAAGATACAGAGCACGAAGAACATAGCATGATAATGATAGTGAAGCCTGGAAGGGTTCATATCATAACTTGTGTGTTCGTGAGTATGTTGCCCCATGAGAGTTACCGTGGGCCTCCATGTGCCCAGGTGGGATGGTCAATGTATTACACTATAAGTGTGTCAAATGAGGAGTGACTGATCCACATGTAATTTAAGGTTTTGAAATATGTGGTTTAATTATACACGATTTTTCATATAGTTACGCGAATGATGGGAAAATAAAAGATATAGATGGGGTGTGGTGGAAGCATCGTGGTCTGGCACACACACACACAAGCGCTGTAAACTTTGTGTAGAATTACTGGGTGGTTTGGAAGTGTTTATTTCCATTCATACTTTCGTAACTACAACCTATGGTAAGTTTTCTTCCTGTTCATGTATAATGAAGATAATGCACAGTATAAAATGCCATATACAATACTTATACATAATGTCATCTATACAACCGTACTATGACTGTGTGTTCGTGAGTATGTTGCCTCGTGATAGTTAGAGTGGCCCCCGTCCAGAAAGGAAGCTGTACTAACCTCCAGCACCGACCCAGGTGGACTAGAGATTATGGTTTCCGAGTGTACTTATGACTGTAAATAATTTTCTATACTAAGTATTAAAATATTATGTAGTATGTAATCTTATAACCCTAGTTATTTCAATGAGAAAATCAAGTAAATTCGTAAAGTGTATTTGTTTAAATACTGGAGACAATTTTATTAATGAATCGGCAACTCAACTACAATCAAAGCTGCCACAAGAGTCTCACATCAAATTTTCTTCATTATTTAAGCATATATACGAACATTTGGAAACTTCTCATGATCTGAATTAATGATGATTAGCTTATTATATTAAAAATGCTACCTTTTGCATGTTTAATATTTATCCTGACAGTGATACAGCCGAAAATAGATCCACCAATCACAATCACTATTACCAAGTATTGCCAGGTAAAATTGCCAGTACGAGACCCAGGGTGGGGTCTGTACACCAGTGTTGCCAACTTGGCGGAAAATCCGCTCAATCTAGCGGATTGTCCTTTTAAAACTCGGATGGGTTAGACCTTTTGCGGATAGCAGATTTTCTGGTGCATTTTCACTGGATTTGGCGGAAGTTGTAGCGGATTTCGTGTATATGATGATTATTAGTAATTAAAACCTTTTCTGTCCTCCCTCTGAAATTATATATATATATATTTTTTAAGTAAATTGAATACAGAGTAATCAGCAACCCAACCTCGTCCCTCTGCTGACCATGTCCATTACACGTTCGAATTTCGAACTTCGTACAGGTACAGTACAGGACCTGTCCGCCTTGTAGAAAAACGATAAAACTAAGGCATATTGCTTGTTCTGTAAATGCAAGATTAATGAAAAACTTTGTGATCTGAGAAGGCATGCAGTTTGAGTAAAACATGTCAAATCATCAAATCCATTTTATAGTGCAAGAAAAATCAAAGCTACCTTTCTCTAAATTTGGTGACATTCAACAACAAGGCACAAGGGACTGCTATCGACGGTAATTGCTGAACATTCTGCATTTTTAACTGTGGATCATGTGTCGGAAGCTAGCAAAAAGGCGTTCAGTGCCAGTAATGCAGTGACGAATATGAAATTGCATAGAACCAAGTGCAAAAAAATTATCGTAAATGTGTTGGCACCACACTTTAATGAGAGTCTACGAAATGATATTGGTGATGCACAGTACAGCATTTTGATTGATGAGTCAACTGACATAGCTCTCTCTTGAAGTTCCTTTGTGTTATTGTACGTTATTTCGGTTAAAGAAAATTGTGTCAACGTATCTTGGACTTATTGAACTAGAAGATGGAACAGCGCAATCTATAGTAAATGCCATCAAGAACCTTTTACAGGATATACAGCTGGACCCACAGAAGTTACGAGGAGTTGGAATTGATAATGCGAATGTCAATACAAAATATTGTTAAATCAAAGCTCAGAAATCGGTTGAATACAAGTTCAGTCTGTGCGATTATTGCAGTGAAAAATGGACTCAGAAGAGTTGGAAAATGTTGTCATTCGTATGAACTGTCAAAACAAGTGGTAAAGCAAATAGGTACAGTGGTAGTATACAGTTCATCGACATCAAAAGCACCAGAAGCTCGTCCCAGCTCTTCTTCAGTAACCATGTCTATAGAGACTGTAGAGGAAGAAGAGGACGGCATAATCTTTTCGCTGAACTAAGTGATGAGTATTTAGCATTTGTATATTTACTTAACATATGCACATTGTTTAGAATACACGTGTAATGTTGTGCTTAGGGGATTTCTAGTGGATTCTACAGGTCAATCTAGCCGATTTTCACCAACCACATTTGGCAACACTGCTGTACACTGGTAGTGTGCTGACTGCATATTTTCGAAGTGAAAAGTCCAGCTGTAAAAACATACCCTGTGGACAGTTTGTGTGAAGACCTGGTGATTATTACAGCAAACTACAGTTCACATGTGTGTTTCTGTGGCCTGTTGTTTTGTCTGTACACTGATACTGATCGTCGGGAAATTACCAGAGACTGGCGGGACACCTAATGTTAATTCGACGCCTCTTGTGATATACAGTATCTACTGCTTCTATATATACGACCTAGCCGCTGGTAACCAGCTGTGGCCTCTGGATAAGCAGCGGAAAGGATGGTCTGAACAAAACCTGTACATCAGACGCAGTGACTGGTCAGTCATAAGGTGAAATTTTATAATCCTTTTGTTTAACACTTATATCCAGAATATTCGCAGTGCACAGACTATTCCATTTAATTTTGACTGAAGAGTAATTTTAAAATAATTCGTTCCGCTATTTTTTTTATTTATTTAGTTTTATTTTTTAGTTTAAGTTGGGGAAAGGGTGGAAGGCATGCTGGGGCTCAAGGCACAGCCAGACATGAAGTATAGAGAGGTCACGACAGATATTCGTGGGAAAAAGGTTGGAAAAGAAGTTTAATGAGTTAAACAGAGGGGGACGACACCCCTTGTTTTACATATTGCAGAGTTTGTTGGCTGAGTTAACCTAGGATTTAGGATGAGGTTGCACAATGGTTACTTTGGTGGACAATGACTAGTTTGATTTTACAATTACATGTTGTATTACGTTATGGACTCACTAGATTGTGACTTGTTAAATGTGAACTTATATCATCTAAATTTTAATATAAGGTGGATCACTGTGGCGGACATAGATTGGTCGAGGGTTGGGTTGTTGTAGTGCGGGCAGACTCCGTGGCCACCAGGCGTGGGGTCGCCCTCCGTGGATGTCTTCCCCACGTAGGTGCTCTGGGCTGTGAGGGTCGTCCAGGAGCTTGTCCCAAACCTTCTTCCCTAGGCGATGGAACCTGACGTTGAGGGCCTCTGTTTTATTTCTCAGGTGGATGGTTTCCACTGTCTCCTGGTAGGGTGGCGATTGGCCACTGGCTGACCTCAGACACTTGTTTAGGAAGCTCTGTAGTTGTTGTAGTCTGGTCTTACCGAGAGTGACGAATGGTATATGTGGGTACTCCAACACAGCCCTCACCAGCGCCTTGTACAGGTGGACTTGTATCTTCTCAGGCATCAGTTTAAAACGTGTTAATTTGTTGCGGCGACTTTGGTTTTCTTTAGTGTGTCCTTCATGTGGGAAATGATGTCTGTCCGAGAGATAATGAGGCCGAACAACCTGTCTTGTTTGGAGTACTCAATCTCTTCTTCGTCGATCATCAATGGCGCCGGCTTGATTTTGGCGATGGGTAGTGCCTCGAATTTCGTTTTGTTTGTTTTTATTTTCCATTTATTTTCATACTTCGAGATATCCTCTATTGCTCGAGCAGTGAGTCGCGCCATCCTTGCCTTGGACCTTCCTGGGCAGGTGACGATCTGTGTTACATCGTAGGCATACATGACGTACTCGCTGCCGACGATTGGGAGTGGCAGGTCAGTCGTGTAGAGCGTGTAAAGGGTTGGTGAGAGACAAGAGCCTTGAGACACGCCGCTCGAGAGTGAGAATTCTTCTCCACAATGTTCTTGCATCTTGATTTTGGCTCTGCGGTCCGTAATGAGGGTGCACAGTCGGCGCGTCAGGTTTTCGGGTAGCCCCAGTTGTATGATCTTATACTGCAGCCCCGCGTGCCAAACTTTGCCCAACAACTAGCTGACGTCCCTCAGTATTACGTTGCACTGCAAGCGGCCAATCATGGCGTTGGCGATCTGCTCCTAGGCCTGGGCTATGGCGGTGGATATGCCTCGGTACTGGCGGAAGCCTCTAGTAATTAATAGCGTAGTCAAGTTATTCATTCATTTGCTACTACGGAGTAGGGTCTCGTATTTTCACGCACTAAGTGTTACCACGGGACTAACAATTCTACCACCAATGTGAATGCATAAATCACTATTCCAAATTCCTGACATAGTTTGTTTAGGATTACTTAAGCATTTTACGTTTCTCTTTAGTTTTATATTAATTGTACTGTATATACTGTATATATATATTTTTTGCTGAGAATTGGTGAATAATGTTTATAATGGTAAAATAATAAAATTTAAATATATGAACGCGTGATATCAGAAATTTTGTAAATTTTAAGCAAATTATAGTTACCAACGTGTAATGTAAATTGCAAGAAATGGCTTACACAGACACTATATAATATGAAATGATGTGTAGTTAAGTTTGATTCAGTTTAAGGTATTAGACATCATACCATATTCCACAACGTATTCAGGTTTAGGTACAGTATAAGCATATGATCTCCTAGAGTGAGCCAATCAGAGGGAGGGGAATCAAGAGAAAGACAAGTTAAGGTAGCAACGTAGGTGAGAATAACAAAGGAAACAACGAACTGAGAGTGAAGGACGCTGATCACAGTAAAACATGGGAGAAAACGATTTCAGGAAACAACCTTTGTGAATGACAGAAGGAAGAAGGAAAAATGAAGCCAAAATTATAAAAGTGAAGAAAAAGAAAGCAGAAAGAAATAGATTAAGACAAAAGAAAGAAATTATAAAGAGTGAAATAAAAGGAAATAGAAGAATAAAACAAGAAAACAAGAAAACAAGAACAATAATAAAATAATGCAACAACAGTTACAACAACAATGACAAAAATAACAACAACAACAACAACAACAAAGGCGGCTCCAAAAAAGAAAACAAATACTGTATAGACGTTTGAAATAGGATCACTTGAAGATTATTAGCATTCTGATTACTTCACGTTAAGATTGAACAACCTAACCTATTGTAACTCTTAATAATCAGGTGAAACTAACTAATTCTAATATAGAGTATATTTTGATGGTGATAGTTTGTGAATCTTCAGGATTGTTTGCAAATTTATAGACAAAGGTACACAGCTTCAAGGACGAGATCAGATCCAAAGAAAGTTGCTAGAATAAAGGTATAGAAGTTTTCGATGGTAACATAATCCTTAACTTAGATATACTAACACCCTTAATAATTAACTTTAGTCATTTACTAATTGTAAAAAAGAATTACTGTATTTACGTTACTGTATAATCATTTCTAATGCCATTTCTAGCCACCACATTCTCGATCTCGCACAGTACTTTTATTAGTGTTCCCAAAATATAAGAGTGATAAGAAGTTCACCATCCACCCTCAACAGATACGAGACGAAGGTGTACGAGCAGCTGCACAACCTATTAAAGCCTCGCCTGACCTTCCTGCAGTTCCTCCGCCACGTAGTCTACACCTTCAACAACAGCCAGGAAGACGCCCATTGGTAAGCCAACTCTCTCTCTCTCTCTCTCCCCTCCAGTACTCCGGCAAACTCATATGATATCCTTAACCCTACAGTCTTATTCATTTAAGTGAGGTTAATAGTAATAATCAATCTATTAACGTCTTCATCAACTAATTCATAAACCAAAAAATAAAATAGAAAATGAAGTCAAATGAAATAAAATAAAATTGCATATATATATTTTTGAGGGAATAATTTCTGTTTGTTTTTTATTGTTTTTATTTTTTTTTTGTCTGAGTCAAGCATTTTTGATTTGCTGTTTTTGTCCGAGTTAAGCATTTCTGTTTTTCTCTTGTTGCTTTTAATTTACGGGTTTCTGTTTTTTTTTTTCGAAGTTAAAAGTTTATGAACGCGTGCATCAGGTGCGTGTTAAAGAACTTCAAAGGGTTGTACAAGTTGTGTGAAATACAGTCGAGGAATGACTGTGTTAAAAGTGTGAAGAGATAAGCAGTTTTATATTGACAGAGAGGATGAGGCGTGTGTATGTGTGTGTGTGTGTGTGTGTACGCGCAGGGTGGCGACCTGCGGTGTAATGGTCAGCATGCTCGATTTGCAAGCGAGCGGACCCGGGTTCGATTCCGGGCAGGGTAAAACTATGGGCAACTTTCTTTACGCCATTTGCCTGTGTCTACCCAGCAGTAATTGGGAACCTGGATGTTAATCGATTTGGGGATCGTATTCCGGAGTAATGGTTAGCAGCTCGTTAACTCAGGGTGTGGGTGTTGTGTTGGCGACAGCTTCTACTCCTTAAACAAATTCACGCCTAGGTAGCCCTTGGGCCAGCCATCCTCGTTACACTAGAGGCAGCCATCATTATTATTATATAATGCATCTAGTGTGGCACCATTATGTTAGTGATAAGGTGCAGGCACTGCTTTCTTCCTCTAGCTTTCAGATACCGTTGCTGGCTAGCCCTTTTGGTGAACAGGGAAGCAGCCTTGCATAAGTCTTCCCCTGCCAGTATATAGCCTCTTCACCACCAAGATTCCTGCTCTGCCTCCTCATGGCATCACCCTTCTCACCAATAAGATTGATGAGGCACTGCTTGTTTTGTGAGTTGGCTAGAAATGCCTTCTTGGTAATGGTGACCTCCATTTCTGGCAAGAAATCCAAGTCGGCACAGACCTCTCTGCCACCTCTCCTCTGGTGCTGCTCATCCTTGGTAGTAGGGCCATGATAACCGTCGAACACCACCAAAGGATCTCTGTAGTTTTCCTGGACGAACACAACATCCTTCTTTATGAAGGAGCTATATGTAATATGCTTAGCCATGGTAGTTTTTGGAGAAGGCTTCCACCATCCATAACACATACCGCATCCAACTCAAGGCATCAAGGGGCAATGCATGACGGCACTTTCTTGACGCGCACATGAGTAATTTGGTGGTGAACAAAACTGGGGGATATGATCACAGGTCGTATTGAAACAGAGAGGGAAGGTCACCTTTGCTGACCCCTGCAACTATCAAGCGCTAGTATAGACACTGAAGGTCAATCTCTATCTTCTCTGATCCAATGCTTACATACACTGCAGAGGCAAGTGACTTAACCTGATTTTTCTGTGAGAATTTGAACTATTCCACCGATTTTCCAACCATGGATTCTATGGTGGCCTTACCCACATTCTCAGCATCGTCAGGACTGACTCTCCTCTCTGCTAGAAGACCTGAGGACAGACTGCGGAGTTCAAGTGAAGATGAGAATAGTGTTCTCTCGTGGAAGAATGCTATTAACTTTTGGATGTCAGCCAGGGTCACGAGTGATTTAATCATTAGAGAGATCATCGGGCTCAAATTGAGCACTCGAGTGTGTGGCAAGGTTGGTTAATCACATAACAGCCTTGCTGACTTCACCACACATTGGAATTGAAAGGAGAAAGAAAAGACGGGTGATATCGGCAAACCCACGGCCATGTTAGGGCCTTTGACGCTAAGCACCATGATATTGCTGAACTGATACCCGTACTCCTTGGGATACCTTTGAGAGTTCTTCTTATCTACATAGCAGCCACACAGGAAACCATCAGAATTGAGGGAAAATTTTGGTGTTTCTGAAAGCAATTGTTTTTGTGAACAAGACTCATGAGTTTCAGATTTCCGCTTTCTCTGTGCGATGCGGCGATAATTTACATGATGTTTTCTACATTTAACAGGTACATACTGTGAGGTCTCCGGAGTGTAAACTATCAGACGAGGATTATTTGGATATATATCTATACTGGCATTATTTATTCCGTCGATGCCCTTTTTTTATCAGAGTTGAATAATTATACCATTTGAGACAAGCTGATATCAGCATCACAAAGTTCACATTTCCCGGTTTATTCCATTTTTGATTACTTGATGATTATAAAAAAACCTGAAACAATAGAGTAAAAAACAAGCAAATTTCATTCTGATAATGTTGTAAGTCACAAATGTAAGAGAAACAGGGCAATATGTGTATTGGCTTAATTATCAAGCCTGGTATTTTAATACTGAACATAAGGAAAGCTAGGGTAGCATAACTGCACAACCAAAGTATGCTATTGAAATACATTAATTAAAAAAAGTTGTTTGTTTTGATATGCACTCAGCCTTCAGATAATGAGTTTGGTAATGGAAAATTACTAAATAAAAAAATTTCTTTATAAAAAGATGCTTAGACCTTGGCACTTTCTGTGACCTTGATCTCTAATCATCTCGAAACCATTTACAATGGACCGGACACCCTCAAATTATCCAAAAAAGCCCCCATTTGTCTATCTAAGTCAATTGTGTAAAAAGTTATGTTACTTTAACTTTTGCATGGAGCTGCACTTCAGCCATCTCGGATTTGGCCGAAATGGAGCAGTTGCCATGGGTGGAATCGGGTGGGATTTGACTAGTGGTCATAAGAGGTGGCAAACAACCAATTCCAGGTGAAAAACCTTTAATTGTTATTTTGTCCAACCTTCACTAATGAAAATTTTCTTAATTTACCCGACTAATAGGCTAACTGAAATGCCTGCTGGAGTCAACGAGCGCCTCGTGACGCTCCGAGACCCACTGAATCACTCACATCATTAGTGCATACGCCCCAATCCTGAATGCAGAGTGCTTACCTCTATCTCCAGAGAAGATAAGGTGTAGTGCTCCGAGGTGACTTTAATGCCAGAGATCGCAGAGATGCTGACTTATGGCAGGGAATTATAGGAAGAAACATAGTGGGCAAGTGTAATCTCATCAGCCTACTACTCCTCAACAAATGTGCTGAACACAGCCTCCCACTATCACCAACACCTTGTTTGGGAAGGCAGTCAAGTTCAAGAGTTCTTGGCAACATCCACGATCCAAACATTGGCATCTCATTGACTACTTTATTTCCAGAGAGAGAGATCATTAAATTCTCCTCATCACCCGAGCCAAGTGTAGCTTATTCCACTGTGACACAGATCAACGGCTCGTCAGAGTCAAACTCTCCCTTCACGTCGCTAGCACATGCTTTCAGAGAGAAGCTGGAGGATGGGCTGATAAGCAACCCAGCAACAAACAATCCAAAACCCAGTGTCGAATGTGGTATTCTCGACGCTGTCATGACAAAAATCTGCAGAGAGACCATTGGCCAAATCGAAAGAAAGAACAACAACAGATTTGATGATAATCACCCAGATAACAATGTCCTCACCATTGGTAAACTAACTGGTAAAACAACACTCAGTCTCGGACCACAGCTGATACCTTCCACAAGAAGAAAGCAGTGGCCCAGCGAAAAATTCGAAATCTAATGAACGAAACGAATGGTGGAAAAATAAAGTGTGTGAAATGCAAAAATTTGTAGATCAACACAAGATGCGCGAATTTTTCAGTTCCCCCAAAACATCGTATGGTCCAGTTACTCATGGTGCGGCCCCCCTCCGCTCATTGGACGGGAACTCCCAAATTTAAGACGAAGAAGGCATCCGTCTGTGCTGGAAAAAGCACTACCATTCGCTGTGCATCCGAAGCGCCAATGTGGATGCCCTGACTACCCAGCAGGTCCCTTAGCACCCACGGCTGACCCACCTCAGCGATTTTCCATACCTGGATGAGGTAGCTACTGCCATCAAGCAGATGAAAAATAACGACACAGGACCCGATGGCATCTCAGCTAAAGTATGTAATGCAGGAGGACTTCTGCTTACCAGCCATCTCCACTCTTTCCTGGAGAATATATGAGAGAAAGAGGAAATCCTCCAATATTTATAAGAACAGAGGAGATTGGTCAGACTGTGACAACTACCTTGGGATTTCGCTGCTGTCTGTAACTGGAAAAATTATCGCCCGAGTTTTCCTAAACAGGCTTCTTCCTGAGGCGGAAAATATCCTACCAAAATCTCAATGTGGCTGTAGACCATCATGTGGCACCACTGACATGATCTTTGCTGCCCGTCAGATGCAGGAAATGTACAGAGAACATCATGGTGACTTGTATGTGGCCTGTATCAATTTTTCTAAGGCCTTTAACTAGGTCAATATGGAAGCTCTCTGGTGGACCCTCAGTTATTTTGGCTGCCCGACAATATTCATCGTCATTGTTAGGCAACTCCACGATGTCATGAACGGCAGTGTCCTGCACAATGGCACCCAGTCTCAGTTCTTCTCCAACCAAATGGGGGTAAAAGGAGGATGTGTCCTGGCACCAAATCTCTTTTCCATTTTCTTGTCTGCCTTCCATACTCGTGCCAGTGCCAATTTTGCCGGCTAGGTGGACATCCATTACCGGAAGAAGGGACGTTTCAACATAAAACGACTACAAGTGGGAGACTCCGTACCCGTGTTTTCAGTCCTAGGGAGCTGAAATTATCTACAAATTGCAGTGGTCCTCCCCACCCTGCTATATGGCAACGAGACATGGGTCACATACAGGAGGCACCTCAAGGCATTTGAAAACTTCACCCACGTAGTCTAACTTTCCATCCTCCGAGTTCGCTGGGAAGACAAGAGAACAAATGCTAGTATTCTCGCTGACACTAACTGTAGG